ACAAGAAAGATCACAATATACATACCTTATACAGTAACTTCAAGTGAAAATCCAAGTTATATTCAGTTTACAACAACCTTTAATAGCAATACAACACCATAGAAGTGACTTAAGCTAATCCAAGTATTATCTTGTAGTTTATCATCCTAACAACTTAACCAACATACAAGCAAGATTAAGCACAATTAGTAGGTTGTTATACTCACCTTAGACAGCAGAAAAAACTTGGAATTTCATCCAAATACAGTCCACAACAATCATCAATGACAACACAACCTCAAAGAGGTGTTGTTCTTCACTAGAACTAAGTTTTGATGTTGAAATATGGTGTAATCAGTTTGGAATCACTTCAAATGCTTGTGGTATATGTTTAGGAGGGTTAGGAGAAGTTTGGATACGAAGTTTAGTTGAAAAATGAGCAAAAATAGGCGTCCAAATCGTTTATAAATTGAAGTTGGTCAACCACCGTCTAAGTGGGTCCCATTGGGAGCTGCTTGCGCGGTCTCGCAAAAACGCGAATATCTCGCTACTCTGATGTCGTATTGATGAACGGTTTAATGAGTTAGAAACTAGACTCGTAGACCTTCAATTTGGTAGGTAGAACACCCCATGATTCTAAGTATATTTGGAGAAATTCTCAGATACATTTGACCTAAATTTCAGCAAATTTATGAATGTAACTTGTGATGACCTTTGCCAACTCTTGTTCCACAACTTGCTTGCCTTCAAAATGTAGAAAGTGAATATCATACGACTAAAATAACTCATAGAATAATCTCCTTATCATGTTAAGAACCCTAGTCTCACCCCAAAGTACATGTTATAACATTCGAAACTTGTCNNTTTGTTTTGTGAATAAATCCAAACACTTGGGCATTCCCCCCTTTTAGGCCTCTTTGTCACACCATGACATGTAGTTGGAATTCTTCCAACATCGTAACATTTGATACCTTATGTCATGCAGTATGTACAACTATGTCCTTGTATGAGCGCCTAGCGACTCGTATTCCCTTTTTCCTCCATATTTTAGCCAATCTATAAGCCTCACCGTAAGAACATATACAGAATTATGACAAGCTGTCCCTCTAGGCATCTATAGGTGTATTGATGTCTTTCGCTTGGTACTTTATCGAACATAAGACTATTGCTATCTCTTGTTTCATAGCCTTGCATATCTATCCTTATGGATTTACTACATCTAGGTAGGTTATACTATACCATAAAACTTACTTCGTTTTATAATTACCGAGGCTTGCTACCCAACTCCAGGTTACTCTCTCGCTGCTTATCCTATATGTATAAATCTAAGTCCTTTAGTGCTTCCTCATTTTTATTCATCTCAAGAATAACAAATAAATCTCATCTCATACTTTGGAACTTGTACCCATCTATTTTTTATTCACCTTAATGTTGATCTATAATCTATCACTGATAACTTGCAACCTCTTACGTAATACACTGTCACTAGGGCTCACATCTTATTGGGGAACATCTGAAGTGATTTTCCTGATCCACCTAGGGATAATACTATACTTCAATAACCGTATTTCATTGCATCCCAACGCGATTCATCTTATGGGGGCATTCTAATCCCGTGCAATAATGAAATCCCTTTCTCGTTAAATCATTACTCAATCAAAGGCCTAAGAATCATCCTCTTATCTATCA